GAAACGTTTATCACGATGTCAGTCAATGTTTCACTCGGTAACGCGTGAGTAAATAGTGGTGTTTGTTGCGTGGCTCAACCGAAATATACGTCCGTAAAATAAGTTCCACGGGCTGCCGCTGGCGCTAGGATCGTTTTTATGCACAGCCAGGCAACAGAGGCAGATTGTTTGGTTCCCCCACTCCAATCCCTCACCAAGCCAGCGTCGCTGCGACGTTTAGTCTTGGCTCAGCAGCCGTCAGCGATGGAGCTTCCTCTTGCGTCTCCCGCCAGCTGCGAGTTGCGGTCTGTTATTCGTTTCCTGGCCGCTAAGAAGAAATCGGCGAAGGAAATTCACGAAGAACTTTGTCAAGTGTATGGAGAAGACTGTATGAGCTGCGGGATGGTGCGCAGATGGGTCAGGGACTTTAAAAATGGCCGAACAGACGTCCACGACGAAGCCCGTGCAGGGCGGCCATCGGTTTCCGACGAAACAATTGCCAAAGTCGAAGCGGCAATGCTTGAAGATCGACGGATTACAGTTCGGGAGCTGTGCACAAAGATTCCGGAGGTCAGCAAAACCACAATTGACAAGATTTTGACTGAACATTTAGGCTATTCAAAGGTCTGCGCAAGATGGGTACCAAGAATGCTCACTGCAGACCACCGACGGCAGCGGGTTGAAGCGGTCCAAGAATTTCTCGCTTTTCACGGAACAACCGAAGAGGAATTTCTGGACTCCATTGTTACTGGTGACGAGACCTGGGTACACGACACCACACCGGAAACAAAGGAGCAATCGAAGCAGTGGAAGCACTCTTCTTCACCAAGAGCAAAGAAGTTCAAACAAATCCTGTCTGCCGGGAAAATCATGGCTAGCGTTTTTTGGCATCGAAAGGGCGTATTGTTGTGCGAGTTTACGCCTCGCGGGACAACAATCAATGCTAACCGATACTGTGAGACCTTGAAAAAACTTAGACGTGCCATTCAGAACAAGAGAACAGGAATGCTGACGAAAGGAGTGCGTTTTCACCATGACAATGCCCGACCGCACACCGCCAATCGAACCACAGCCCTCATCGAAAGATTTGGATGGAAAATGGTGTCTCACCCACCCTACAGCCCAGACTTAGCACCAAGTGACTTCCATCTCTTCCCTAAGTTGAACAAAAACCTTGGCGGAACCCAATTCCAGACAGATGAAGAGGTGCAAAACGCGGTTGTTAGTTTTCTACACGGACAGGCGGCAGAGTTCTATGACTCTGGTTTGAAGAAGTGGGTGCCTCAAATGCAGAGATGCATAGAACGCAACGGCGATTATGTAGAAAAATAAAAGAAAGACTGAACTTTCAAAAAATGTATTTTCTTTGCAATTAAGCCAATTTTTTGATATGAAAAAAATTTGTGGAACATATTTTACGGACACGCCTCGTATATTTTATTATTTTATTATATTACTAATCATGTAATCACAAATGAACACTAAATTAAATCACATTACATTAACATCAAAACTCATGAATTTTACTGAACTAACAAATAGTAAATAACAATCAATGGTTCCCTTGGAAAACGATTGCAGCATTTAGAAAAAACTTGACAGTCGTCAACTTAGTACTATAAATCTTTTTATTAATTTAAAATGTCCATGAAAAGTGGTTTTAGTGGTTACTTTTTGTCCAATATGGTTCAATTTACTAATAATAAAGCATTCCTCTGCGTGTAAACATTCTTTAATTTTGTGTGTATGTACGCTATTCACCTCCAACTACACTTGTGAACATTTCGCAAAGAAACGAAAGTATGGCGCGCCTAAAAAATATGATTGACTCTTTTTCAATTCTCGGGTTATTGAATATTGATGAAAGATCTCGATGAAATGAGACCTTATATTGTTCAGTAAGATACCTTTTTCACCCGTCGGAATAATTATGTCAGGCGAATTGACGTGGGGATGATTGATGGTGGTCTGGCCCTTTCTGGCTATTAATTTTTCGATATCCCTTTCACTCGGTCGGAACGCGCCACGAAAATCGGAAAATTCTTATGCAGATTGGACAGGAAATCGACATCGGCATGCTCGGCATGATGGGAAATTGAATTCGGCTGATTTGTATAGCAGCTGTGCAGTTTTACCATAAAAACGGCGTTGAAGGTGCTGACTACAATTCCCGGGCAGTCATTCAAATTACAACTATTTCCATCTTCAGCATTTATATCTTTTATGTAAAGTTTCAGATATTTCGTAAAAATGTGGCTCTAGGTGTAAGATACACTCGAATTGTTAACAGAATCTGGTGGAGTATACAAACTTTTTTATTCTTATAAATCCTAAGAGAAGGCAGCAATCTGCCCGTATGGGCAGTATACAGGGTGTAAACGCTATGATAGTCATTATTTAAAGTAAAATAAAATCTGACAAGCCCGCAATGCCAGATGCAAGTTACGACGGAACGCAGTGTAAATAAAGATGAAGTTTGTTACTTTTGGCTCTTAAGTATTATTTCATTATTTGATAATGTACTCGTAAAATGCAAACAATTAGAAAAAACGGACTTACCACTTACCGTCTCAGCGCTTCACCTGGTGTGTGAAAGTTTATTGAACGTATTAAAAAAATCCACTTATAGATAGGGAACACAATTTTGATACATACATTGTTTTTCTTTTTAAAGCCCACACTGCACCTATTTTGTATTTAAAGAAGGTGTTCACAATATCGACCTCCACTTTCCACACAAGCTTCATTGCGACGAACCCAGTTTCTTCTTACTCTAGGTCCTCGAAGTTGTCCCTTCATTATTTCAGCCGTATTAAAAATGTTTTCGCGAAGTTGTGCTTCAGTTGTTATTGTTGTTCCAAGAGTTCTGGTAGGTTATTGGCTAGAAAGCTAGGGTATCCTTCTTCTGACAACTTTGGGGGTAACTCGAAAGGGCCAATTACATGATCGTCAAGAATACCCGCCTAAATATTTATTTTAAAACGTTGTTGGAAATGACCTTCACGAATGGTATTTGGATTTTCTTGAGCCCACGTGTGAGTATTATGGAAATTTAATATCCCGTCTCGCGTAAAAGTACCGAATGTTTTAAAAAATATCCGGATTTTCAATGTTTTTGTGCAAAAACCACTGACAGAATGTTAGTCTACGAGAACAGTCTTCTGGTAACAAGGCCTGCACTCGTTGTACATGGTAGGGATAAAGCAAATTTTTCCGTAGGATTCTATATACCATTTATTCCCAAAGTGGTCTATATCGACCCCTAGGGGTCTATGACAACCTGCAAGGGGTCTACGTCAGCGAAAAAAAATTTGGGGGTCCATGAAATGAATATGTGGGTCCACGATAGTGGTTCTCAACACATACACTGATAGTACCTATTTACTTACATCGTACTATCTTATAATATCAAAACATATACATTATTTATAAAAGTGCCTATGAAGTAAAAAATTTATTCTATATGTTTATAAAATTGTGTAAGTTGTAGGATGTTGGTATTCGCTTTGTGGTCGCAATACATTTTGAACTTGTAAAAACCTGAGAGTCGCAGTCTCAGAGCTTCGCTACCTTGCACTGACTTGCTCAATTCGTCACTCTATAAATACGAATGTGGGACAAATACGTTTATTCGTTTCCTCAATCTTGAAAAGGAAAGTGCTAAGAAAATATTTTAAAAAATATAAACAGATAGTATATCACACAAATTATAGTGAGTCAGTGTTATTTTGTTTGAGAGTGCTGGAGAAAAGTAAGTACAGTATTTTTTATTAAGTTTTAGTTTTGTACTCGTAGTTAGCAAAGATAGATAAATTACGCCAATCATGACTTTAGTTATTAGTAGTTAAATATTCAATAGTTTGTTTTTGAAAGTTTTAGCAATCGGTAATATAATTACTGTGCAATCTCCGTAATTCGAGCTAATTGTTGCAAGAAGATGTTCGAATCATGGAATGTTTTCGGAAAAATCAAAAAATATTTTTAATATACAGCTGCTGGATTTTGTCTTATTTAAATAGTTTAATTTTGCCCACAGATGACTGATGCCATGTCCGAATCTAAAAAGAAATGTAGACAGTACAGTGTTGATTATTTGAAATTTGGCTTCATTCCATCATTGCCGGACAAACAATCGCCTATGTGCCTTTTATGCAACAAAGTTTTGGGCAATGACGCTATGAAACCATCTAAACTGCAAGATCATCTGAGAAGATGTCACCCTGATAAAACAGAGAAAGATCTGAAATACTTTCAAACACTCAAAGATAAATTTCAGAAGAGACCTGCACTGGACAGAATGTTCGCTTCGACGTCACAAAGAAATGATGATGGTTAGCGGGCGTCTTACAATATCTCGTTACTTATAGCAAAATCCGGAAAACCGCATACTATCGGAGAGAGTTAATTTTTCCAGCCGTTGAAGAGGTTTTAAAAACTGTTTTATATAAACCTGCATCTGATATCATTAAAAGAATTCCCTTAAGCAACAATACTGTTGGAAGACGTATTGATGAAATGAGTTCTGATATTGAAAGCTTCTTATGTAATTATTTGCAAACGACCCATTTCTCTATACAACTGGACGAGTCAACTTTACCTGATAATGCAGCATTATTATTGGCATATGTTCGTTTTATTATGAATCAAGAAATCTACGAAGAACTGCTCTTCGCAAGAACTTTGATAACCGTCACTAAAGGTGAATCAATATTTCATGTTTTGAAGGATTACGTCATTGAAAAAGCAATTCCTTTATCAAATATAATATCAGTAGCTACAGATGGAGCGCCTGTCATGGTTGGACGTTATCGTGGATTTATAAACTATTTAAAACAAAATGTGTCAGGGGTGTTAGCAATACATTGCGTATCCATCGACAACATTTAGTTGCTAAAAATTTGAGTGTTAGATTGCATGAATCACTTCATTTAGTCAGTGATGCAGTAAATCGAATCCGAAGCAACGCGTTGAATACGCGGTTATTTGCGCAGTTGTGTGAAGAAAACACTTTCATCAATTACTTCTTCCCACTGAAGTACGCTGGCTGTCGAAAGGCTTATGTTTGACAAGATTTTTTGCACTTTTTGAGACTGTTTTAGAATTTCTGGATACTAAAGATAAAATTTTAAAAGAAAATTTATTGAAGAGGAAAACAGACATCGCCTATTTAACAGATTTGTTTACAAAATTTAATATGGTTAATTTGCAATTACAAGGCAACAGTTTAAATTTGATTAAAACAAAGTCCATCTTATCAGCGTTTCTTGCCAGAGTTAAACTAATGAAGCAAAATATTGGACGGGGCGAATTTTCTCAGTTCCCCAATTTGTCACAGACAAGCTGCCAGGAAGACGACGTTTCAACTTACGTTCAACATTTAAATGCCCTCTATTCAGATTTTGAATCTAGGTTTGAGGATATTTTGACTATGGTAATACCACCGTGGATAATTAATCCATATGATGACATAAAAGAAACGAATGTCATAATACAAGAGGAACTGACTGAACTAAGTACAAACGAAGAACTTAAGGTTCAGTTTAAAAACGGATATCAGCAATTCTGATTGCAAAACAACATACCCGTTACTTATCCCGTATTATGGAATATAGCGAGGAAATTTTTAATTTCCTTTCCATCGTCATACCTAGTGGAAAGGGGGTTCAGTGCTGTTACCAATCTCCTAACGAAAAAAAGAAACAGACTGGACATCATTAGCCGAGGAGATTTAAGATTAACCCTTACAAAATTGACGCCAAAACTTGATAATTTATTATTAAAGCATCAGGTTCATCCTTCTCACTAAAAATATTGACTTATTGCTTATGATATTTTATTTATAGTTTATATTGTGTTTATTGGTGTCTGACCAATAAATGCCCGCATTAGGAATAAGTGCCCGCATTGTTTTTTTTAAAGAACCCCCCTTTATAAAAAATATTTTTTTTTAAAATATTCTGAAAATTCAAGGATAGGTACACACTAAAATTCTTTAATTTTTTGCCTATTTTTAGATAACTTAAACGTATAAGAAGCCGAATTTAATCAATCTAACAGTGAAATTATTGTAGAACATACGTTTATGTTATAATTATTAATAAACGAACTCGCTTATTGTACTATTTTAAGTAAAAAACTTTTTTTTTATTATTTTTCACTTTTTTTTATTCTATCCCTCTTATTTTTTTTTTCAATGCGGGCACTTATTCCCAATACGGGCACTCATTGGTCAGACACCTGTTTATTTAATGTTACGTATATTTTACAAAATAAAATTTTCTGTAGTTTTAATTTAAATTCAATTAATAAATGTATAAATTAACATGTGTTTTTACTTTAAGTTTTTAACACTAAACTACAGTTAGAAATTTACAGGAAATCAATATCAGGTAAGTAGGGGTCTACCCAACACGGAAAAACATGGCAAGGGGTCTACGACACAAAAAATTTGGGGAACTCTGCTATAGACTAGGTATGCGATACTTGTACGCGGCGGTCTAATTCCCGAGTTCTGATATCTACATTGATTTCCACGATATTTAAAATTTGTTCCTCCTGCTCTACAGTAACCTGCCTTTTACGAGTGCGATTATTAGTGGGCTGAACACTGAACAAATTTGAGCTGCAAGATTTTAATTCTGACGAGCTTCACCGTAAACTAACAACATGTCGGCGAACTCTTGATTCGAGAACATTGTAAATCAAAACGACGACGTACGCGAACAAAAACGAAACAACATACTTGCTACTGTTACCGTTTGCGATCGATTGCCGGTTCGATAAGAGTGATGATGACCGACGCGCTGTTGTCATGTGTGCTTTAAGTATTCAATTTAATGAAACTTACTTACTTACTGACTACAAATTTTGGCTTAACTTAGAAAAACTTAATTCCATTTATTTGTTGATTACCCAATTTAAAAACGTTTTAGATTAGATTACAAAAATTCGTAAGATTGTGGTGATTGTGGTCGATATAAAGCACTTAAAGCTGTAGATTATAAAGCCATTTAGACAAAAAGCTATTGACTTTTGGACCATGGGTCATATGAACTTTTTGGCATGTTTTGACACCCCCTATTACCCATTTCAATAACGACGACCATAACCATAACGTTTACACCCTGTATATCGAATGTAACTCAATTAGATATCTATTTTGTGTTAATCTGTTTTATGATGCTTTTGGGGATATTGCACACTATGATATTGAAAATTAACTTGGATTTAACATTTTTGATGAGCGAATATAGTCTGATGACGGCATTACGTGGACGCAACAGAATATATAGGACCGATCAATCCGCTTGACGCCATATTGTATTTAGTTGCATGTTTCTTATTATAATAAAGAATCTATTTAGCATAAACGCTACATATAAGTACACGTTTGACTTATCACAATACTAGACATAGAAAAAAAAACATTGTTTTTGTATGCAAAAATTAAGTTAAAAGTGTTATACTTCACAAAACGAAAAGAATCAAAAATAAACCTACAAACCATAATTTAAAAATAATACTACCAATACAAATACAAATACCAGGCGTACTGATAATATTAGATTAACAGCTAAACCGAAACTTAACGTAGTAAAATCTAAAAAAACAAGTATAAATAAATTTGTACAAATAAAGCACTGGCGGATTTAGCGGGGGGCGCAGGGGCGCCCCCCCTGGACGTCTGACATTTGCTTTTGCAATCTAACACCATTGTGTTAGTTTCTGTCACATCATGGTGACAGATGCATACTAACTATAAGTTATAGCTATAGGTACTGAGCACTATGATTTTTTGGTATCCTTTGGTATTCCAAATGCTGTCTCTCTTTGACATCACTTGTTGCACAAGTATACGTATATACGAGTATTGTGACTTGTGGCAAATCTAAGTCTGAGTAATATATTAGCTATACAGATTGCACTTAAAAAGTGATTTATGTTCTGTTTGTTGCTCAATAGTAATTTGAAAAGTGTGTAAAGCTTGACTGATTTTGTTCGAGGTTAGTGTTGTAGATGAACGCCTCAAATAGACATAGACATTTATGAGATTTGTTTAGAATTGCGCCTGTGGCCTGTCTAGAAACTGCGTCGATCGATGCTTAAAATCAATACCACACGTCCCGCATCTCTTCTCGCGTATGTGTCTATTTATGTTGCTATATTCAATTCGTTCAAATCAGAGCTGCTGCACTATACGTGAATATGTACAGCCCTGTATTCCTGTACTTGTTTAGTACAAGCATACATTATCAAAATAATTACGATCTAACAGATATAGTTTTTTCCAAGGATTTCCAACATGCGATCAACACCGGTTCGAAAACTGAGAAAACGATTATGCTGTAAGTTCGACAACGAAAGTATGAAAAACAACTATAACATCTATATTCAATTTCAAAAAACAACTGACTATACCTATTGATATCTTTATCACCTGCTGATATAATAGAAGTGCTTGATTGTGTTAAGTATTCGCACCATTTACTTGATTTGTTTAATGGGCAGTTCGGAGTCCTAATCCTTAAGCTTATTACATACTAGTAGACACCGTTGCGCAATTTGTCTATAGGCAGTCTCAAGACACGATCTATAGATGGTCTACATGATCTTTGTCTTGTCTAGCGTCCATACGATAATGTGACTTTTTTGGTCTAATGTTCGTTTTCGCTATCAAAGATATTGTTTTGTGTGGAATGGACTTTGATATGTATCGGAGTCCCTCAGAACGTTTGATTTATTTTTTGTCGGTTAATCGAGCAATGAAGTTTTTTATGTCTGAATTCTAAATATTATTACATTAGTTAATTATAAATGCCACGTACTTATTTTGTTCTCATATAATAAAATATTGCCTTTCTGGGGATTTCCGAGCAATTTCATGTTTTTTTTTTCAAGCTGGTCTTGACCAGATAGAACACAATGGATTTAAGGAGCAATAATGGGATAAATTCTAGAAGTTCCACTGGGGTTAAAAAATGACCAGGCTCAAATATCGTCGAAATCCTGAATCCGCCCTTGAAATAAAGTAAGTAAAATCGGGCTAAAATGTGCAAACTTAAAATAAATAGAATACAACTAATTACTAACACTTATATAAAACAAATTTTCTTAGAAGCGATTTGAACCGATTTAGGTTATAACAGTTTTTTATTATCACAGGTAACTTGTTAAATTCAGATAATCGACATATGTTATATGTTATTATTATAGAACAAAAGTGGATGAAAAATTAGAAACTGTATGTTTTAATGAATAATTCCTTTAATCCATATGTCCAACATCAATAGGCATTGATAACACTGGTCAACAAAATTTTAACTTTGTCGTGCCACACGGACTTTTTTGATATTTTTTACTTTAATTGGTGATTGTAAGAAAAAATAAACAGTTAAAAAGAATTTGCTAGACAAGGATTTTATTCTATTGAGTAATTTAAAATATTAAGAAAAAACACAGATCTCGTAAATCAAAAGTTATTTTTTTTTATAAATGACTTAATAATCTAAGATTTTCTTGAATATTTAGCTTCTGGTTGGTCCCTTTTAATTGTCCAGCAGTAATCTGCTAACATATTTGGGCTCCATTTGCCCTGGTACCGCTTTTCCATATTAGAAATGTCCTGATGGAACCTCTCACCGTGCTCGTCGCTGACAGCCCCTAAATTGTCAGGAAAAAACTCCAGGTGCGAGTCTAAAAAATGGATCTTAAGTGACATGTTGCAACCCAATGCTTGATATGACAATAATAGCTCGCTAACCAACTCTCTGTAGCTGTCACTCTTGTGGTTACCCAAAAAATTTGAAACAACATTTTTAAAAGCCTTCCATGCAGATGTTTCTAAATCGCTTAATTTTTATTCAAATCTTGAATCTTTTATTAACTCCCTAATTTGAGGGCCAACAGAAATACCCTCTTTTATCTTTGCATCACTTATTTTAGGGATTTTTTCTTTTAGATACAATCCACTCCCATTGCGATCCATTGCCTTCACAAAATTTTTTATTAATCCTAATTTGATATGCAATGGTGGTAGAAGCACATTATTTGGCTGTACAAGGGGTAAATACTTTACGTTTTTTTGCCCAGGAACTAACGATGCACGTGTAGG